GCAACTAGTTGCCGTTCCCATACTGCGTACTGAGACATTGCCTGAGCAAGAGAATCGGTCCCGTGGGAAGCGCCGGACCTAGCAACAATTCTGACGACAGCGAACATAATTGTCGCGCAATTATCGTGTTCGCATCCGACACGGACAATGAAATCGCGGCCATTAATGAGTTAAAAGCGAGGAGTCAAGCCACCTCCGCAGCAATTAAGACCACAGGCGGTGGTTATAGGAGCCGATAATTATATTGCGCACGCATATGACCGCTACGAACTAAAAATACCGTGCAATATGTGCATGTGTCACCCTTATCTGCGCATGGCTCCGATTATCCTACTATTACGGATTGTCGAGAGAATCGGAAACGTCAGGAAAATAAATTTTCTTGTTCCAGTGATCGCATTTTCTTCTTTTAAATTGCACTTTTTAATAGACTGGTCACCACGAACCGTGACTCAAGCAACTCGCAGCTCACGACGCGATTGTACCCTGTCGCGAGAACTTGGATTTGGGGCCTCTTCCTCATATAGCGCAGTGAAATGCTCAAGTTTCCTTTGCCAGAATGCAGATAGGAGATTATATTTCGGAAACCTTGAATGCAGGGGTTTAGAATCACTCTCGAAAATTTATGATTTTTTTAAACGCGAGAGAATCTCTTTCTTCAAGTATAAACCATTTGAAGAAGATTTTCTTTGCTATCAATTGAGTGCAAGAAATAAGATTTGTGTATATATTTTATATAAGATATATTTGAACTCCTAATAGCATCGAAAATTAATGAAAAACATTTATACTACTTAATCAGTCATTTGGTGCAGAGTAGCCTACAGGTGGGTGATCAGAACGTCGGCATCCTGACGTGATGTCGCCCGATGGTCAGTCTCACAAATTCATCCAAAGATAACAAATTGGTGCACAACCTGTCATCCAAAAAGCTGACGGAAGAACACATGCAGGTGTTAAGGCATGAAGCTTCATTCAACACAGCTGATGCCAGACCTGCCAACATGGTTGCTGCAGTAGAATCAATCCTGGGCCAAACAGAAGCAACGGACGAAACGAAAGACCTCATACGTCATCAGGTGTCGTGCCTCCTCATGGCACATCGACCACGCGACTCTCTCTCCAAGGTCGAACATAAGGCACTTACAGAACTCAGAGCCGACAATGACCTCGTTATCGTACCGGCGGACAAGGGCCGTGCACTGTCGTATTGGACAGGACAGACTACATTCACAAAGCTCAAACTTTGTT